TTTAATTACATCATCAGATACGTCGTTACTGTCATGATTTCACTCCTGTTTCTTTAAGCTCGAAGATAACATGCATTTTATGTATCAGTGAACAGTACCGTAACCGAACGGTAGCCGATGTTAATGTACGCGATTCCCTGTAATTTGATAAATAGCTTCATGATATTGCACAGGTTTTATGAGAAACGCAGTCCTTCCCGTGAAACGCCAGCCTCTCAATGTACACACACGCTGTCTGCTTGAAGACGAGTAAGCTTTATTCTTAATACACAACGCAATCTGCTACATATATGAAACGTATATAATGTTCATGGACAGATACAATTAGTAAACATTTAACTCATGATAAACAATATACTGCTCTATATTTAAAAATAATGTCGCTATCATCAGCATCATCATCCACAGTCACGAAAATCACAAACTCTAATTATATTTCAAATGTAAATTGGCAAGTATTTATTTACATGGCGATATAATGTAGAGATGATCGTGACCGGATGAGTTATGTCCATTCTAATGATGTAAATACATTACATTTTTGTTTACCTTTCTTGGACTTTGCACGACTATCATGTGTTGTAATATTTTTGTAGCATTCTTACCCGCCCCTACCGGGCATCTGAAAAAGAGCCTTAATAGCTCATCGGATTCCTCCAGTATAAATACATATTCTGATCCTGACATTGAACACGAATATAATTATATTCTTGGTTCTTTCGGTAAAGTGACGTAGAAGGGAAATAATAAAATAATAAAAATATTTAACTATTTCTTTTACGTCACTTTACCGAAAGAACCAAGAATATGAATCCCTGCAGTCACGAAAGCTTTAAATCAAAACGAATATAATTGTCACGATAAAAAAAACTGAAAATGAAAACTTTCGAATCTGTGCCTCAAAAGCGAGGATCGGAGTGAGTCAAAGCGAGTTAGTGAGGCTGTGTACTCACTCTGCCGGTAACCGGTAACCGTTTGGAGATTCGGTTCTCGGATCCGAAAGTCTGGAACCGGTAACCGTTTCCAGTGGAATTGAGTCGGCAGATGTGGCTGTGCCCACACTTCACCCACCACACACGGACGGAACTGCCTGTCCATCGACTAAACCTTGGCGAACCTCCGATTACTACGGTTGGCTACGTACGGTGCGAAAGAAGTCCTACATACACACGACCCAAATTAGCACGTAGGCTTTCGCGGCCAATATTGTTCATAATTTTATATTTGAAGCTTTCGTGACTGCAATGATTCATACTCTTCTTGGTTCTTTCGGTAAAGTCACGTAGAATGGAAATAATAAAATAATAGAATAAAACATAATAAAATAATTCTCACGACGTTTCGGCCACAACGCAAGCAGCCGTCCTCAGGTGTAGAACAGGTCTGTCGAGAAGACAGAGTCTGAATGACGACACATTCATATTTACGCGATCTAACCCAAAAAAAGACCCTTTATCATAGAGAAGGCCATGTTCGCCGACGTCTTTAAGAAAGGATGCGGCACATGGAGGATGTAGCAGATGAGCCATTGCCCGAAACGTTGCACGGAACATTGTATATTCTACAAGGTCGTGATTTCTCTCATCTCGTCGCGTTGTGTATACACATATTCATACGTGAAAATGGATCGAGTATTTTGACAATGCAATGGAGAGCGGGAAAAGAAGTATTAACATTTCATCGGTAATGTACTCTGATTAATGTAAAGGTGTGTTTGTGATAGAGATGACGCTCCTGACAAAATAATAATACACGAATGCACGTCAAGTGCATGTGTAAAGATACCTCGAACAGACTCTTGGGGTCTATGAAGGCCGGAACGGTAGACAAGGGGGTGGGTGGTGAGCACCACGCCCGACAACCTTTGTCTCCCTAGTGGCGATATTTACTGTACACCGCACCAGATACTCATTTCAGGCTGAGTCGACATAGCGGAAGCCCAGTACCGGTTTAAATCATCGTCACTGGCTGTTGGTGGCCGTGAGCGGGAATCGAACTCGGGTCTCCTGGTTCATAGCGCAGCGTAGCGCTACACGCTGCACTACCACTTCCCACATAATAGACGCAGAGTCACGTTACAGACAAGTATATACACAACACAACACAGGCTGGGAGATAAACACTGGAACACAATAGCTCGCTTAGTGACTTTCACTCTTTGAATTGTGGTTGTGTGTTGTAGAAGTTGTGGGATGTCTCAGACAAGTTGTGCGATTTATATATACCGCTTCAGATGCACCACATCAGATGAGAATCAGAATTTGTATTTATACTGGAGGAATCCGATGAGCTATAAAGCTCTTGTTTCACAGCTGTCCAGTAGGGACGGGTCACGACGTTACAACAACAAACTATACAAAAACACGACAAGATGGCAACGTATAGGAGAGGTAAAGAAATTGCGTAAAATACACGTTTTTTATTTTACCAGGTAAAACCCACTAAAGCTATTAGCTTCTTTTTCAGAACCGACCTGGCCACAAATGATGGCTCCACAAAGTGGCGCATGACGTGGAAATGTTTCGCAGCCAAATAATCTAAAGGCATGCTTCTAAATGTGGAAGGAAAAACCGAAGGACCCGGAGAAAGAAACCACCCGACCACGGGGTGAGAGAGACATGCAAACTCCAAATACCGCATACCATGCGAGGTAGTTAACATCTCGCCACCGTGACGCCCCTTAAATAAAAATAAGTTGAAAGTTAAAATTATGATCCACGGATGGTATGTCCCACAGCTGCACAGAGGCCCGAATTCTCAGTGACGGTTCGGTTCAGGCTTGGCTCAGGCTCAAGGGAGCCGGCTCAAAGCCACGCACTGAACTTGAGCCGGCTCTGAGCGTGTGGCTCCAGCCGCGCCGAGGATTTCCCCGAGCCGAGCACTGAGCCAAGCCATGGGTGAGCCGCTCACTCACGCGTCATTGGAAGCAGCTCAGAATCTGTATTTACGCTGGAGGAATCAGATGAGCTGAAAAGCTCTTTTTCACAGATCTCCAGCTGAGCGGTTTAAGCGTGGATGGTGTTCGGGGCCAAGCCACATGAAGTCGGAACAGCCATCTACAGAACGTAGCCAAGCATCACTCATTTGACAACCACCGATATTCTTACTTTCAATCACCGTACAACCACCGTTAAGCCTTCACTACCAATAACAGCAAATGACCGACGGTCAAGAATAATGACGGAGCGCCACCCCCAAGGGATGGCGGGCGTCCGAGTGAATGTCTACCGAGGAGATGGAGCGATGAAATCAGCTCGTGTGCAGGTCCTGGGTGGAATGTCGCATCGCACGATTCGTGAAGCACGGCGACGTTTCGGGGAGAGGGGGCTTCATCTAGCAATGGATCGAACATGGCCGATGTTGAAAATACGTCCTCTCGTTGCGTAAATGTTTATGCGGAATAACTTGCTATTGATCGTGTCGCCTGTACTGCCACCATGGCATAGCGCACAGACAAAGGTCCCCCGTATAGCCTGCAGCAGACTGTTGGGGCAAGTGCTGTTAGCGAGCACCTATGGAGGCCGGCACGGCACACGCGGGAGTCGGTGGCCAGCACCACACCCGGCCGCCTTAGTATCCCTAGTAGTCGATGTTTACACACCGCACCAGGTACTCATTTGAGGCCGAGTCGACCTAGGGGAGGCCCAGGACCGGTTCAAATATCCGTCGCTTATGCACAAACACCGCACGCGATATACTCCACTCTTATTCCGCATTTAAACCGGCACAGCGTTTGCACTCAATTTGCCACCATCAAGATACTGCAATAAACACACACACACACCGTGACACAAAACGTTGAACAGTCGTGTTCTATGCGTGCATGCGCGTGCCTGGTTATTACCTATAGTGCATACAGCAGATGTTCTCAAATCGAGAGGCAATCTCTTACATTCGTCAAGACACCTACCATATGCACAATTGTGCGTATGGCCTATGCCACGTGGGGACAATAATCAATAATCGGATTACATTGTGTTGAACTACAAATATTAATATTTAAATCACATTGAGATTCGTCACCCCACGGCGTCTTTTCGACCTCTGCTTTCGAGCAGCAAACTGCGGGCCGGTTTGCGCTTTTCGAGACTCATCAGCAGAGCGCTGCCCGATAAACGCATTCTGCTGGGTCATTTGAGTGCTCGTGTCTACAGCGTGCGCACTGCATGTAAGGTTGAACCTTTTTTCGCGCCGTACGTAACCAACCAAAACACGGGATCGGAGAGTGTCCACACGTGCCGCTAGAGACACACGAGTCCATAAGCACATGCGGGCACTGTAACGGTATGTTCTGGTAACGAAACACTGTCTTGTAGGTAACACGAACTTCTTTCGCACGCTACATAGCCAACCGTGCTAACCCGAGGTGCGCTTTGTTTGATCACGCATTCATTGAGTGTGATGTGCACATTCGCCAAAAGACACAAATGTGAAGATGATGGTGGAGCCAAGTGATGAGTGGCGAGCGAGGTGACAGAGCCGGGTGATGGGGGGAGAGAGAGAGGGGGCTTACGGGCGGAGGGGTGTGATGATGATGATGATCGTGGTGGGCGGGTGAAGGGGACCTCCTCGGTGGGAGGAGGAAGGGGAGCAGAGGAGGAGTAGAGGAGGTCTAGGTTGGATCCCCGCTCCCGTGCCCCGCATATAGGAGGCGCTGACGCCGCGCGAGCACACGGAGCCGCGTAAATCCGCCTCCTCGGATCCTCCTCGGTGCCTCCCGCTCCTCCTCCTCCTGCTGCTCCCAGGGCCGCTTTATCCGGGTCCCTGCTGCCCGATGGTGCAGCTGCTGCTGCAGTAACTTACCCCCTGCTGCTGCTGCAGCTGCTGCTGCTGTAACTTACCCCCTGCTGCTGCTGCTCCTGCTGCTGCTCCTGCTGCTGCTGCTCTTTTGATTCCAATCCAGGCGTTGCTGCTGCTGTTACTTCTAATTCTGCTGCTGCTGCTGCTGTTGCAGCAGCCGCTGTTCTGATTTAGCTCCTGTTGCTTTGCTATCCGTTGTTATTACTTTTCATTTCTCTCCTGTTGATCCCGCTGCTATTCTTCTTCTTCTGTTGCTTGCTACTTGCTGCTGCCCGGTGGGGGCACGCATGGCCCCCGTGTGCCATGCAGACGCCGCACCACTACGAGGCGCCCCCGCTCCCCCCGCGCCTCCTCAAGACCGGCCCCCCCGGGTTCGCGGAGCAAGACCCCCGCCACGGGACTCTGCACGGGGGGCCCCTCGGCGCCTCGGGGTACCCGGGGAGACTCCGCGCCGAGTCGGGAGCCGGGAACTTTTCCCAGCCCCTGCCGCCCTACCAGCTGAGCGGACGAGGGGCCGAGCCGCGGCCCGGTGAAGGTGCGTCAGAGCGGAATACCCAGGGAGCTCACCCGTGTCTCTCTCTCTCCCGTGTCTCTCTCTCACCCGTGTCTCTCTCTCACCCGTGTCTCTCTCTCTCACCCGTGTCTCTCTCTCACCCGTGACGCTCTCACCCGTGTCTCTCTCACCCGTGTCTCTCTCTCCCGTGACTCTCTCTCACCCGTGTCTCTCTCTCCCGTGACTCTCCCTCTCACGTGACTCACCCGTGTGTCTCTCTCACCCGTGTCTCTCACCCGTAACTCTCTCTCCCGTGTCTCTCTCTCACCCGTGTCTCTCTCTCACCCGTGTCTCTCTCTCTCACCCGTGTCTCTCTCTCACCCGTGACGCTCTCACCCGTGTCTCTCTCACCCGTGTCTCTCTCTCCCGTGACTCTCTCTCACCCGTGTCTCTCTCTCCCGTGACTCTCCCTCTCACGTGACTCACCCGTGTGTCTCTCTCACCCGTGTCTCTCACCCGTAACTCTCTCTCCCGTGTCTCTCTCTCACCCGTGTCTCTCTCTCACCCGTGTCTCTCTCTCTCACCCGTGTCTCTCTCTCACCCGTGACGCTCTCACCCGTGTCTCTCTCACCCGTGTCTCTCTCTCCCGTGACTCTCTCTCACCCGTGTCTCTCTCTCCCGTGACTCTCCCTCTCACGTGACTCACCCGTGTGTCTCTCTCACCCGTGTCTCTCACCCGTAACTCTCTCACCCGTGTCTCTCTCTCACCCGTGTCTCTCTCTCATCCGTGTCTCTCTCTCACCCGTGTCTCTCTCTCACCCGTGTCTCTCTCTCACCAGTGTCTCTCTCTCCCGTGACTATCCCTCTCATCCGTGTCTCTCACTCACCCTTGTCTCTCTCTCACCAGTGTCTCTCTCTCCCGTGACTCTCCCTCTCATCCGTGTCTCTCACTCACCCTTGTCTCTCTCTCACCAGTCTCTATCTCTCCCGTGACTCTCCCTCTCATCCGTGTCTCTCTCTCACCCGTGTCTCTCTCTCACCAGTGTCTCTCTCTCCCGTGACTCTCCCTCTCATCCGTGTCTCTCACTCACCCTTGTCTCTCTCTCCCGTGACTCTCCCTCTCATCCGTGTCTCTCTCACCCGTGACCCTCTCACCCGTGACTCTCTCACCCGTGTCTCTCTCACCTGTGACCCTCTCACCCGTGTCTCTCACACCCGTGACCCTCTCACCCGTGTCTCTCTCTCACCCGTGTCTCTCTCACCTATGTCTCTCTCTCTCACCCGTGTCTCTCTCACCCGTGACCCTCTCACCCGTGACTCTCACACCCGTGTCTCTCTCACCGGTGACTCTCTCACCCGTGTCTCTCTCACCCGTGTCTCTCTCACCCGTGTCTCTCTCACCCGTATCTCTCTCACCCGTGACTCTCTCACCCGTGTCTCTCTCACCCGTAACTCTCTCACCCGTGTCTCTCTCACCCGTGACTCTCTCTCTCTCTCACCCGTGTCTCTCTCTCTCACCCGTGTCTCTCTCCCCGTGTCTCTCTCACCGTGTCTCTCTCTCCCGTGACTCTCTCACCCGTGACTCTCTCTCTCACCCGTGACTCTCTCTCTCACCCGTGACTCTCTCTCACCCGTGTCTCTCACTCACCCGTGTCTCTCACTCACCGGTCACTCACCCGTGTCTCTCACTCACCCGTGTCTCTCTCTCTCACCAGTGTCTCTCTCTCACCCGTGTCTCTCTCACCCATGTCTCTCTCTCTCACCCGTGTCTCTCTCACCCATGTCTCTCTCTCTCTCTCACCCGTGTCTCTCTTACCCGTGTCTCTCTTACCCGTGTCTCTCTCACCCATGTCTCTCTCTCACCCGTGTCTCTCTCACCCGTGACCCTCTCACCAGTGTCTCTCTCACCCGGAAAGCTCAGCTTATTGTTGAATATTTTGAGTACATTGATTATATTGACGTAGTTTATACCTAGTTTTTTCACATCGGTCTATTGTATGGCAGTCGGGTAGAAGCAGTTCTTGAGCGTCAATATGCCAAATTCCTCTGTTGATATGTAAACTCCTTTGTCAAGGCGCTCTGCTCCTCCCACCCAGCTTAAAATACGCTGCCAAGCTTAGCGGTGTTCATTAGGACGCTGTCTTTCCGACAGCTCTGTTTTTCACCTGAGGACGGCTGCTTGTGCTGTGGCCGAAACGTCGTGAGAATGTAATAATGTTTTATTTTTATTATTGTATTATTTCCCTTCTACGTGACTTTACCGAAATATCCAAGAATATGTAGGTTTGTTGTTACCCGGGCTATTACCTGCTCTTTTACCTGTGCTATTACAAGACTTGTAGTCCATACTTTTACTAATGTTATATATTACATGCGCAGCGCTCTTACATGTAGCCCTCACCTGTGGCTCTCACCTGTAGCAGTTAACTGTGCTGTCAGTTGCAGAGTTATCTCTACTCTGACCTGTGATGTTACCTGTGATGTTATCTGTGTTAAATGCGTGATTGTTTCTTGTGCTGTTATGCTCTTACGCGTGGCCCCCGTACGTGTCACTGTGTACACACATACCTGTATTCTCTACAAGTGTTCTCTACTAGTGAGCTGAGCTGTGTTGTCACTGCTGATGAGACGCTGTATGTTGAACCCGGTCCAGAGTTTGCGTGTGCTGGATCAATGCTGCTGCAACTCATGCGCACCCCGAAGTACCGTTTGGTCAATGGGTTGTGCAAAGCATTCTTGTATGTTTCTATGTGGAAACAGGTCTGCTCTCGTATTGTGTAATTACGAATGTCCTAACCTGTACACATCATGAGTACGCTATTCACGGAAAGTAAAGGTGCATTTTCTTGGTTCTTTCGGTAAAGTCACGTAGAAGGGAAACAATAAAATAATACAAATATAAATCTATTTTATTTTTTATAAAAAAAAAATTGTTTCCTTTCTACGTGACTTTACCGAAAGAACCAAGAATATGAATCCCTGCAGTCACGAAAGCTTTAAATTCAAATTTAAAGGTGCATTTGTTTATGTTTTGCCATACATATATCTCTTGGACATGTTTACCACCGTCAGCGGGCATTTGTTGTCGTTCCCCCCGCACCTCCGATTAGCACAGTTGGCTACGTACGGTGCGAAAGAAGTTCAACATACGTACACATCTCGCAAATGTTGTTTTCGTGGCAGGGCGAACTTGTGAAATGTCACGGTTCCGTGTCGGTTCGCGTTCCGTTATACCCGTGTTGGTGACTGCGTGAATATCCTCATCTAAATGCGGCGGTAAAATCGTTCGTATTACATTTTGATGGTTTTGGTTGTCGTATATGCACAGCTTTAAGTCGTTTACGGTTGGTTGTAATTACAGTTAATCGCGTCCTGTGTATCGATCGGTGCGTGCCAAGTGACCGCTTTTTATCGGCTTTAGCGTCTAACTCTACGCAGGCGAATTACTCGGTTTACTGATCCGAGCGGGTCAATGGGTGCGTGAGAGTTTAGCGTGGGACTCGGAGCAATGCGGAGCTGCCCTATGAGTGTAACTATAATTATTCATCTCCGCGAAATCATTCTTGGGAGGCCAGATGAACAAAAAAGATATACCTGGTATCAGATTGTCATGCTTATAAGCCTACGCGTGACTAGAAAGTGTGCAAAAAAAAAAAATTCCGACTTTTCAACTCTCTAGCACAGTGGTCGGCAACCAAATTAACGAGAAGATTTGTTTCGAATTCGATGACGAAAAAAATTCGACTCGATATTTGAAGAGCCGCAATGCCACGTGAAGAATGTCACGAAAACTGTCCTCAAGAAGAGCCGCACGCGCCAGTCACGTGATCGTCTAGTTACTAGATCATTTCGTCACGTGATCGGCTCGTCACGTGATCGTCTAGTCACGAGTTGCTCTTCATGGTCTAGAAAATATATTCTTGGTTATTTCGGTAAAGTCACGTAGAAGGGAAATAATAAAATAATATAAATATAAAACAATGTAAATTCTCACGACGTTTCGACTGCAACACAAGCAATCATCATCAGGTGTGAAATCCACAGCAAGAACATTTGAAAAATGATGATTGCTTGTGTTGCAGTCGAAACGTCGTGAGAATTTTTATTGTTTAATATTTATATTATTTTATAATTTCCCTTCTACGTGACTTTACCGAAAGAACCAAGAATATGAATCCCTGCAGTCACGAAAGCTTTAAATCGAAATTTAACACACCTAAACTCACCGGTAATAGCGCTGCGTAAAACACACGCACACACACACGTGTAACAGCAGCACAATGACATCAGCTTTAAATCAAAAGTCTAGAATCTAGTCGGTGCGTTAGTTATGGCCGTATGCACCTGCACGGTGGCATACGATGTCGAATGATGCTGTAGCTCTAAGCCCAAGGTAGCGCTGTACATTCATGCACACAGCACGGTCCGTGGATCTAAGTTAGTGCATTGCCATGCGACACACGAATTCGCACCAATACAGCATACGTGGGAAAGGTTGCGTGAGATACGGTAAGACAGGCCCGCGACTCGTTACGTGTCGTAGGTGTGTCTTCTGTCCGCACGAGTGTGAAACGTGTTGGATTCTGCTTTCTCGATTGGTCTAATTCATGATGCCATCGTTGATAATTCACTATGTAACATGATTTTTGTTCCCGGGTAGTAAGTGTTGTTTTATAATTGCGTATGCCTCAAAAGTACAGAAAAAGGCTATTATTTCCCACAAACTTTTCTTTTGTGACCAGTAATTTACGTGAAGGAATGACACAAATGCACACGTTTTCTCATTGAAAATAGGTACATTTCAAAATATTACTGTCCTGGTCACAAAAGCAAAGTTTGTGGGGATTAATAGCCATTTTCTGTACTTTTGAGGCATAAGCAATTGGAAAATAACACCTACATAACACTTAACTCCCAGGAACAAATTTAGTTTTTGTTACACAGTGTTATAATTGTATCTGCATGCCTGTTTATAACATAATAATACGAAGTAATACAATGTATACGAGAGTATGCAATGTGAATGTGCGTGTTTTATTTATATGTCGTCTGCATGTGACCGCATCCCAACACGCAGTACGGAAACAGCGAGCATACGATTTGTATGGAGAGAGGAGCAGTCGGTGATGTCCCTGTGTGAGTCTATGGGCCTCTGAGCCATTGTGTTACCTACGTCAATACTCTTTGGTTCTTTCGGTAAAGTCACGTAGGTAGAAAAATAAAGTAAAACATAAAAGAAAATAAAAATAATATATCACGACGTTTTTTAATTTTATTTTTTCGTGAACAAGCCGGACACGTAATAATGATACGAACTCGGCGAATTTTAAACTGCGTTAAATCCATACTCTTTGGTTCTTTCGGTAAAGTCACGTGGGTAGAAAAAAAATAATCGATCAAACGTCGTGATCTATTATTTTTTCTACCTACGTGACTTTACCGAAAGAACCAAAGAGTATGGATTTCTGCAATCACGAAAGCTTCAAATCTAGAAGTACCTATGTAAGTGTATCACAATGTGGATTCTTGCAGCAGCGGCGAAATGCGATTGCAGCCCAAGACGCTGCACGTGGCACTTGTTTCGCCTAGCGTGCTCATCGGAGGTGCAGAGACGGTGGGAATTTTACTGGTAGGAACCCACTGGTTCCACCAGCCCACAGGGGATTATTGTGTCCGTCCGTCGGTCCGTCGATTACGACGATGATGATTTGATGACGACGGCGACGGCGGCGATGATGATGATGATGATGATGCAATTGCGGGGGCTGCAGGCGGTGAGAAGCGGCCGTCCTTGCTGCAGGGCCCCGGATGCACGGAACGCCGGGTCGGCAAGAAGGTGCGTAAGGCGCGCAGCATCTACTCGAGCCTCCAGCTGCACGCGCTCAACCGCCGCTTCCAGCAGACGCAGTACCTGGCACTCCCCGAGCGCGCCGAGCTCGCCGCATCTCTGGGACTCACGCAGACCCAGGTGATGACCTCTTCCTCCACGCCTCACAACCCATGTTTGTTTGTTGTAGTACAGAGTTAGACTGATGGCCTTTATCTAAGTTGTCTTGTGGTTGTTGTTGTTGTTGTTTGACTTGCATCCCACTGGGATTTTTACACGCAGCGTTGGTGTACGGTGCTTTTTTCTGGAATTTTTGCAGTTTTTTCCCCCCTGGATTTTCAGTTTGCACTTAGTCACATAGTCACTTGAAGATGTTTTCTTGTTCATGTTTTTGTTTTTTGTTTGTTGCGGTTGCACCTGATTCAAGAGCCGAATGGCTCACAGGGCTATACCCAATAAATTAACTTGAACTTGAACCCTTGCCCACCCTGCCTCCGCCCCCTGGCTTGCTCGTCATGTTTCTCATCGTCGACATCATCCTCATCATCGGCGTCGTGATCAACATCCTCCTGGTTATCGTCACGATGGTCCTCGTTATCATCAATGTGCCCTTCGCTTTATGCTCGTTATCATCATCATCATCATAAATATTCTCCTTCCTACCCCTCATTCTACGCGTAATCTTCGGCGTCATGATTATCACCATCGCCATCATTATGAGCATCAAAAAAATCGCCATAATCCTCCTCGTCATCATCGTCCTCTCTCAATCACAATCATCAGTATGTTCCTCCGCATGGGTCCAAAGTTTACCAGCTGTCTGCTGACGAGCCAACCACGAGGCTGTGATCACAGTGACAAATCCACGTGTCGTATTCACTTTGTGCTGGCGGAGTTTTCATTCAATGTCGGCAGCTTAGCTTGACACGTTTAGTGGGGGGCACCTGGGTGGGGGGGGCGGGGCAGATCCTTAGCTTTAAATTAATTCCTGGGTCGTTGAAGGTGATTTATTACTTCAATGTTCTGGAGGTGGCTTCAATGTTGTCAGGCTATTCATTAAAGGAGGAGGTGAGGCGTGTGGCGGCATCTTGGCACATTTTGCTCCTTGTGCAAAAAGTTGTGGGTAGGCAGGGGGGCTCGGCGGGGAGGGGGGGGGGGCACCTCTCCCATCCTGCCCCCCATCGTTGCCACGCGCACGCTGAAGTCTCACTCAGCCAGCGTGGGAGTGGGGGGTTGCTTGCAGAGCGTGATGCCGCCCCCTGCTGCTCTGGATAGGGGCTCACACGCGCAGCCAACATCCTTCGCCCAGATCGTATGCACGTATGTTGAACTTCTTTCGCACCGTACGTAGCCAACCATCCTAATCGGAGGTGCGGAGGAAGGACAGCAATCTAAACACAAAAAGCAGTTCTAAAAAAATATTTTTTATGTGGATGATCTAAAAGTGCATAGCTCCCAGTGGCTTCCTAATATGGGACGGAAGAGCGTTCCAGACGGCCGCAGACGCGCATATAAAAGCGCGCCATGCGGTGACCATCTTTGTTCGATGGCCAGTTAAAATCCACTACGAGGATGACCAGGGTAGCACCTGGTCTGGTCACATCTCGGAAGCCAAGCAGGGTTCGAGCCTGGATAGTGATTGGATGGGTGACCACCGCCGCGCATAAAACAGGTGCCATAGGCTGCGGCGGGGCTGCGTCGTGGGCAGCAGAGTGCACTCCGTGAAAAATCCATTGTTGTACTGTATTATGCTGCAACGTGTATGCGCCTCGCCTTCATTAACCCCCACAGACCAACGTGGTGAAGTATGGTACAGTCATGCTGTGTGCGGAGGCCCTCATCCAGCAGTGGATTGAGAACAGGGCTTTACATTTGCACGCCACAATAAGATGATGAACTTTGGCAATGTCCCGTGCATGTAAATATATTAATTGACCCCGATCGTCATTCATTATCATCATCATCATCATGATGAGCCGTGATAAATCCTCTGCTGGATGATGGCCTCCTCAAGCAATCGCCACCTGTCACGATATTGCGATGTAGCATTCCATCCTGCGCATGAACTGATTTAATCGCTCCATCTCCACCTAGTTTTGTGTGATGTCATTAACTCTGCGTAAGTTCTCAAATCCACGTGCTCCTTTTTCTGCACCAATGCAACTTCAAGCACGCGTCTCCCCATGCTGACGTTGAGCACTTCTCAGTTTTCGTTCCAAATTTGTCGTCAACGTAATAACTGCCGATAACAGGAGCGTGACTGATACTCTAATTGTGCATTTGCCCGAGGTCGGGTTCGACAGGGAAGAGTCGCCCTGCTTATAGGATGGGTTGCCCTCTGCGTTCAATGGATGCCGGGGCTTTCTCTATCACCCTGGGGCAAGTCTTGCCCCAGGCCGTTTGGGACGCTCCGTCAGTGGAGGTTTTTATGGCTCGTCTGAAAGCACGTTTATTTTCTCTTGCGTATCCGTCTGTGCAGAGTTGTTTTCCCTCTTAGTTTTAATGTTAAGGGTTTTTTGTCTTTTTTGTTTTATTGGGATTGTGTTGTAAAGCGCTGTGAGGCCTTGTGTGAATGATGCTGTATATAAAACGAAGTCGTCTTACTTACGCTCGCTACTCTGGACGTGACAAACGCGATGAGTTAATCCTTTCGTCACATATGCCGCTCATGGTACTGCCAACAGAGTCTTGTGATGGTTTCAAGGGCTTAATATCTCACTCCATATTTTGGAACGCTGCTAGGCTGGCATGGAGTAGGTCCCATTGGCGTAAGGCACCACCACTAGAGTAAAAGGGACGACTTTTCAACATAACTACGCATTATTGTGCCCTGCGTTCCTATAATCGGGTGCACATACGTGTATATACACATATCTCACAACATGTGGCGAGATGGATGTGTCGTGCAGATGAATCCCGGAACAGCGTTCCGGAATGTTCCGGCTGAAACAAAGCACTGATATGTTTCCATTGCCTGCGGTCTCGCCCCCACGTGTGACTGCGAGACACAGGTGAAGATCTGGTTTCAGAACAAACGCTCCAAGTATAAGAAGCTCCTCAAGCAGTCGGGAGGCTGCGGCGGAGAGACACCCGTTCCGTGGCTAAGTTCACACCCAGGAACGATCGATTACTCAGGCCCCGGCGCCTGGGACTCGCCTTTCATGGCCCCACAGACCCCGGACAAAGCGGGGTCTCCCTCGGGCCCCTACCTCTCGGCCGTGTATCCTCCACCCTGGAACAACAACAGCCGACCCGCGTCACACGCCCATCATCACAACCACCACCTCGTGTGAGAGATGACCTTCCTATTGGGGGTGTTGGGGTGCGGGGGCAGAGACCTCACCACTACCCAGGAGGCAACGCCCTCGGGATGATGATGAGACGCCGAGTTAAAGGAACGTGGGAGTAACCGTTGTATCTCCGTGCGAAGTCCGACGATTCGGAGCAGCGATGTCGCAACACTGAGGTGGGTCTCGTGCGAACGAGGGAAACAAGTGCTCGAGACGGAGACACGTGGAGAGAGAGATAGAGAGACACGGAGAAATGAAGATGTACATTGAGAGACAACGAGGACAGACACACCTTTTAAACTGAACTTTTTATTTTACCAGGTAAGGCCCACTGAGCTATATGGCTCTTTTTCAGAACGAGACCTGGCTCAACGAAGTGGCTTATCGTGTGGAAATGTATAACAGCTGAATACTCTTAAACTCGTGTTTCTAAATGTGGAGGGAAAAACAGGAGGACGCAGTGAAAAATACATTGGACCACGAGGAGAGAGAGAGAGACATGCAAACTAAATATACAGCAGGCGTCAGGGTTGGGATCGAATCTACGACGTCCTGCATACCAGGAGAGGGAGTTAACACCTCGCCACCGACAAAGTGAAAAGTGCATACCTCGCTTGAGAGCAGCACGAAACGCTGAGTTTATATTTAATGAAAAAAAACATCGACATCCATTTCTTGCCACGCAGCTTCATGTCCGCGGTGGTCGATCTCTCGAGCGAGCTTCCTCCTTTGGCTGTCATTCGATCACCAGCTTCATCCACCGGCCACCATCATCCTTCATAGCCGACACCGTGCCTTGCTAAGACCCACTTTTGCCCCCCTTTAACCCGTCGTGTACGTCCCAGAAATTACTGTTTTGTTCCCTGATCCACGTGCTCCACTATTCCCTCAAATGTTAATTCCATATCGTCTGTCGCGACTTCATTGGGAAATTTTCAGCCGTCGTTAAATTCTCAGCGGTGCCCATCATGTCTGTAATTCACGTCATATCTGGCATCAACGTAATATCAATACTCGATGTTGTCTTGGTGGTTGTCCTGTGGATAAAATCGCCCGTGATAGGAATGTGGAATCCCCTTCCCCAAGTGGCTCAGGGCTGTACACATGCTCGATGGTGCTGATGAAATTTACCATCGTTAGTTTCGTTCGTTTTACCTGTCACGTTTAAACATATCTGCCTTGTCAATGTGCCTTAGTCTGACTCCGTGGCCACTTGAATACACCACGAGGCAGTGCTTCATATCTTGTACTGCAGCATAAACGAGAATGTTCAGGATTTTTGTTTTTATATATGTACGTGTGAAAACCAACACGGACGATTGTTTTCACAATGTCTCCGCAGCTGTATGTGACGATGCAATGCAACACTTAGTGCGTGGTGATGGTGGTGTCTATTTTAACGCAGGGAATATGTGGCGTGTGTCTTGTCGTGCTGGAGCAATTGAAGACATTGATTGTGGCTTCGCAAGCACTCCGTAGTTAAGATGCCCCGTATACGATGTACATCGTCTATAACCCACAACTGTAAGACAAACTGCATCGCTATCGGTCGTGACCGTGTACGTGCAGATTGTGCGAATGAACAGCCCTTCATCAATCCACTGCTGGATGAAGCCTTCACCGCGCCGTGCGGATCGTTTTGACCATACTTCTCCACGCTCGTCAATGCGATTGCAATGCATGTACGTTGATCTCGATCTTAAATTTGGAGCTTTCGTGACTGCATGAATTACTCTTTGGTTCTTTCGGTAAAGTCACGTATAAAGATAAAATAACAAATTAAATAATAGTATACGACGTTTCGATTGCAACACAAGCATTCATCATCAGCTATAAATAAAATAGCAACAAAAATCTAACCAGAAAACTATAGACAGACATATAAGTAGACAGATATCACCAAGATACATAGAGAGAGAGAGAGTAACACATAGGCACAGAGAGGGAGATCGTCTATGTGGCGAGGCCTTAAATAGACAGAGGGGGGCGGGGCGGAGAGAGGGAGGGGTTAGAGAAAAAATTAACATGTCAATGAGTGCGGCGACGCGTGGTCAAGTACGCAAGCTTGAACATTAGGAAAGAGGGAGAAAGAACACACTAAATTAAATAACCTAGCAAAAATATCGAAATGAAACGTCGTATGCTATTATTTAATTTATTATTTTATCTTTATACGTGACTTTACCGAAAGAACCAAAGAGTACGTTGATCTCGTTTTGTTGAACTCATTTCGCACCGTACGGTTGTCAACCGCTGTTCATCGGAGGTTCGTCGGGGTGGAAGGCACCAGGAGCGCCGAATGTGGGTTGATGCGCGTACGCCACGGCATGTTGCAGCACTGCCCCCTGCTGCACACCACGTAGATCCGTGGCGCGTCTGGGGGGTCACAGTGTCGAATCGTCCACGCCGCGATTCACATAAATGGTCAGCGCCAAATCGCCGCGCCCGTTGGCGGATCTCACAAATGTTGCGAAACTCCCTTCCCGTCGACGATGCGTCGTATACCCCGAGCTCGCCAGGGGAATGCAGCGCAGCAAAACGTGGACCCGACGCATGTTTGTACGTTGAACTTCTTTCGCACCGTAAGTAGCCAACCGCGCTAAATCGGAGGGTGCGGGGTAAGGGCAACGCACTGGACACAAAAAGCAGTGCGAAAGAAACGAATTTCCGTCTATATGGGATAGAGTGTTTCCCCCTCGCACGCGTGGGTTTTCTCTGGACGCTTCGGATTCCTCCCTCACGTAAACACCCATTAATTGGCCGACAACACCTTGAACTATATCGAGAGAACTGCAGAGCTTGGGGCAGTTATTGGCGCTTGCTCGCCGCGTTGCTGCTGCCTTTCCTGCTTGCCTGTGACTCATTGTGCCTCTGAGTCGTCCTCTCTCTTGTGGAGCGAGCGGATAATGCTGTGCGGCAGCGCGTTACAAGTTAACGTTAAAATTATCTTCGGCGAGGGACCCTGTCCATTTGAATCGAAGGCCGGCGAGGTTAGCAGGCATGATTTTGCATCCGCGAAAGTCTGGTTATGTGTATCTCCTTGATGTATTTTCTGGTTGCACGGCGCGTTGCCTCTTCAGTAACTTGAATTTCGCACCGCCCATTAGCACGGTTGGCTACGTACGGCGCGAAAGAAGTTCAACGCGAATGCTGCAACATACGTCGGTGCCTTGCAGAAGCACGTGGCGCGAAACGTCGGACAATGGCACGCGGCTCAATGCAGGGGTCGGCAATCGGCGCCTCCAGTGGCCGCATGCGACTATTTGGCTGTCCCCTGGCGGGCAGTCGTTTAAAAACAAACAAAGCGTGAGTCTTAAACGTAAAGATAATAGCTCAAATATAGCAGGGAATGGGGTCACTGTGGAATGTGTTTGGTGACAATAAAATGTACAACAGTCAAACTGCGTTGTTAGAGAATAACTAAGGGGGTGTGGGGAGGGCAATCTACAAATACGAAGTTTATTCCATCACCTCTGTTGTTTATTTAAGTCAGAGTGTGTGTTGTCATTTGCTGTATACCCGCTGCGGTGTTTGTGTACGTGTTGTACAAGTAGCTCCCGCGTGTGATGCGTCTCTGGAACTATTTTGGTCAAAATGAGAAAAAAATGCTTCTTCATCTTCACCATCTTCATCATCATCTTCATCATCTTCATCATCATTTTTATCATCCTCATCATCCTCAACTTCTTCATCATCGTCATCATCGAAAGGTTGCCGACCCATGGTCTCACGACAGCAAAGTCGATGTCGCCTTGTCTCCGCATTTGCCTGAAACGCTCCACGGCCCCGCCAGTGCCGTGTCCGCCTGTCGACGCTCCACGCGACGCCGCGGCCTGGCGAGTGATCAGTTGTCGCGCGCCACTCCGGGTCCACAATAAACTCTCGTGGAACTGGTGGCCGTGTCGCCGCGTGGCCTGCGATGATTCTCCGTGTCGCGCACACGACGGCGACACCGACTACGGACTGCTCTTGATTTCACCAGGTAAGGCCCACTCGAGCTGCGTTGCTCTTTTTCGGAAGCCACCCGGCTGACACAAATGACAGCTCGACGAAGGGGCCCATCACAGTGTAACGACTCCGACGACAACGTGATAAGAAGAGCCACGTTCATTTAAAGACTTCCACAACAAGGGACCCTACTAAAGACTTCCACAATACGGGACCCGAGGCTTCGTTCTTGTCTTCCTGCTTGTATCTTCCTCCGAACCTCCCCCCACTCCTCGTGTTCTCCCCTTATAGATCCCTCAGCTCCCTTTCTCGAACCTTCTTGTCCTTGTAACCTCATTTGCCAGTAAAAAACATGATAATTGTTTTTTTACCCTTCTATCTGGCAACAAAACTGACACCTTCTTTTACAAGGAGTCATGGTTGCATAGACATTATCAGAGTTATGTTTTTTGTTTGCATTATGACTGCAGGTATTGTGGTCTATGCAAACATGACTCCTTGTAAAAAAGGTGTCAGTTTTGTTGCCAGATAGAAGGGTAAAAAAACAATTATCTTCTTGTCCTTCTTGACTTATAGCTTTCGTGACTGTAGGAATTCATATTCTTTGGGTCTTTCGGTAAAGACACGGAGGTAGGTGTTTTGTTATTTTCTTTGAACCTAACTATGTGTCTTTACCGAAAGACCCAAATAATACTTCTTGTCCTTGTTTTTGTTTTACCTTTAGTCAATCGCTGTCCATTACCCTTTAACGGATCCTTTATATTCCGCCGTTTTATCGTTCAATCCCTATTCTCCAATCCCTTTAAAAGTCTTCCTCCCGACCAATCACCGTGGAGGTCTCTTTCTTCAGATGGGAGATATTTGTTTACTTTTAAGTAGCCGTTCGGCTGGATATGGCTTGGGGTAATTGTTTGGTTATCACAATCGTGTGGGAATGTATAGCAAACCAAACACGCTAAACGCACCTTGAATATAAACGTGGAGGGGAAAACCCCGGAGGACCCGGAGACAAATCCACGCGGCCACGGGGAGAACACGCAAACTCCAAATATACAGGCGTCAGAGTCTGGATAGAACCCACGACCTCCTGTGTACCAGGCGAGGGGGTTAACATCTGGCCGCCATACGCTGACAGTCACCGCGCGGCTATCCACTGATAGGAATTGAACACGCGGCGACATTAGAGTGCGAGGCATTGCCATTCACTTGCGGCCATTTCTTACCATCAACAAACCGTGGCCATGTATTGTGTATTTACAAAGTGACAGTGATTTACTGCTCGCATGAGCATGAAGGCATTGGTGTTCATCTCCTGTTTGCAGTTCTGAACGAGTGGTGGGCATTCCTCATTCCTTTGCTGGGGGCGAGTCTCTTCCTAGCAGCGATCTTCACTCATTTAAGTGTGAGAGCCGTCAAGCATTGGAAACCATTGAGTTTGACAGAATTATGTGGGGTATCATGTGACGTTTTTGCCAGTATGAAAAATAAGAAAAGGGTTTACCCTTTCTGGCAATAAAACAGGAGGCGTTAATATGTTCAAACACTCAATAGATGCCTTTCGCAAGGAAATCGCGTCTGCATTAACCACACGAACTCGTGGTGAACATGTAAACGAACATGCTCTGATAACACTGGTGTACAGCCAAAATGCTTCCGAAATAAATGTAGTCAAACTTTACTAATTCTGGGTCACTGAGAATGAAAATTATTCTTAAAATTGTTGATTGGCTCTAGTTTTCAAGATATGCTAATCGGGTCAGTATATACGACCCTTGACTTGTAGGGTCATATACAAGATCGCCTGCCTCTGCCACAATGCCTTCACATCCGCCTGCCCGCCGTACCTTTCTTCATTATTGACAACTTGCAGCTCAGCACACGGCAGATGCCTGCGCAGCGCGACTCACGACCTCCTCTTGATATCAAGATCCAGGATGGTCATCGTGTCTACGCGCCGCTTCTCGGTGGCAGCCCCAACAGTCTGGAACGCTATCCCTCTGCACATTCGCAGCATCACCTCAATCGCCTCCTTCAAGAGACACGTAAAAACTCACCTCTACAACCACGTGCTTTCGAGCGACTCTGAGCTTGGCTCCGCGCCTCTGAGATGCGGCCGTTACTTCCGCAAATTTGCGAGCGTTATAAATTGTATTATTATTATAACGGGAAGGGATCTCAATTTAAACCATAAATTACTCAAATACATCTTTGACTGGATCTATGAATACATCTATGAATGATGCAATCTTAACCTGGTATTGCGTCATACATGATATGAATTGCATTGTTATTCCTAAAAACCATGGATGATGCAATCATATCTAGGCTTACATCCCTCTGCTGAACCAATTGCCCTACAGTATATCAGCTCTATAGTATATGGCATTGTCTTTGAAACTGATTGGCCTACACCAGAGACAGCCTTCTTTATGGCCTTGTCTCACCATTGTCAGACCAGAGAAAGCCAAACGGCGAGCAGTACAAAGACAATGCACGCATCAGAGTTGATGTATTCGAGCTCGTGGTGTGTTCACATTCGTGTATTGTCGGGGCCGCACTGAAGGCCACCAGGGGCCGCCAGTGTTCCGCGAGCCTTGCAATGAAAAAAACCGCTTCATAGGGATTAGCCACGATTGACTTCCCCACAAAGTGGTACTCGTTTTATCGACCCCCAGAGGAAGGGATGATGGGTCGAGTTGAACTCGCAGCCTTCCGATCGCGAGCTGCTCCCGATGCCGCTGGTACGACATTGCGTTCAACAACGTAGGTACGCAGTTGTCGTTGTCATCATCAACCATGATCAATCCACTGCTGGATGATGGACTCCCCAAGCCGACGCCGTTTCTCACGGTGCCAGCGCTGTCATAATCCAACACCGAGAAGCTGCACTCGAGCCACTTTCATTGCTCCATCTCTGCGGTAGACGTACGAATCTTCCACCCCTCCCCCACCACCCCCCACGGGCGTTGAACGTCGTCGTTTTCATTGTTTA